TCGATTGCCTAGCTTCTTAGACATATTAAGTCCGGAAAGAGCAGAACTGTGAGGAAAAATCCAGTCAGTAAAATTTTCAAATGGCACCTACCTGTTCCTGTGTTACTCCCATGTCCTCTAGTGCTGCAGGCAACTTCCCCTCATTTTTGTCTTTTGGCAGCGAAGCAATGTCTCGTTTTACTGGCAATTCTGAAACTTTACATTCTGTGCTTTCAAATTCATTTGCTTCCTCTGTGTTTTCTCCCTTTGGCACCTCCTCATATGCTGCTTCCGTGTTACATACAGTGCTATCAGGTGTCACTTGTTTCTTGCCAGAAGCAAATATATGTGTGCCATTTAAGGCCTCCCCACTTTCCACAGAATCATCCACTGTGCTCTCTGTTTGCTCCCCAGAGTCACAGAAATCTGTTGTCTCCTCTAATTTGACATCTGGAAATGTTGTTTCTGCTGTCTGTGCACCAGCATGCTGACATTCAGCAACAGCGCAACATGATTTAGAGGATTTCGACACCTTGTTAAGCTTTAAACCATGGGTTTTGTGGTTTTCTCTGCATGGTAATTTGGCACTTGAACAGTTTGCTTCTTCCAAAACTGTATTCACTAACACCGAGGGGTTTGATTCAGGACTTGTACAAGAGTTTGGGAAGATAACCTCATCTGATCCAGCACTAATTAATGTGGTAAAGTGCCCTGACTTATTCTGAGGAAATGCTCTGCTGGAAACCTCTGCAGGCCTAGCATTAGAAAACTGTGTTTCCTGTGAATATCCGAGTAAATCAGGGCTGTTGGCTTTTTCACGTTTCTGCGTGTCGAATGGCTGCGGCTCAATGTCTAACACTATGGTAAATACCTTTGCTGGGCTACTTTTGACACATTTAGAGAAATTCTCCTTTTCTTGCACATCGGCGGCTGCCTCACAAGTCTCTGATTGTGCTTCAAATGTGCACTGTTGCAATCCTTTGTCTGATTCCTGACTGTTTGACGTCATAAAGACTTCAGTTTTCATCTCTGGGAATCCTGTACCTGAATATTGTGTGTTTTTTTCATCCGGGAACCTCGCTTCCTGGGAGCATAAACCAGAATTGTCCCTTTGCTGTATGTCCTGTGGGTCCATATCCAATACAACAGTGAACACGACACCATCGTCCTTACAGTGTTTTCCCTGAGCATTTGTATTTGCCTTGAATGTCTCCAATTGTGGTTCTAGATGATTAGACACAGTATGTTCAGAGGCAGTAGTGGGGAAGTTGTCTGGCTTTGTTGGTGGTAATTCTATCAAGGATGTGACACAGTGTGCTGAATCGATTGCTTTAGTGTTGTCTGCACCTACAGCTGAGAATTCTGAGACAGCGGTGAAGGTGGTGTCACTCTGCAATGGTGTGTTTTCTTCCTGAGCTATTAAGCTTTTGTTAAGCGTAGGATGTGAGTCTGGCACTAATGCCCCTCTGTCATTTCCAGAAAGTGCCCTGAGTGCACGATTATCTTTTAACCCAAGATAAGACTTCAAGTGTAATTCTTGTGGTGTTAAGTGGCGAGATTCTAGCTGGGTCTTTAAAACATTGGGAGTTTCTGAACATGTGGCTAAGGCATCATCTTCAGTTTTTACCACGGCTGCTTGTTCTTGTTTTGTGGCATCGGCTTCCACATTTGAACCTCCTGATACTTCTGTATGAAGTTTGGTGCCTTTGGTTTGACTTTTGTTGTCATTCTGATTAGTTTCAGAGTTTTCCTGGCTGTGTGGTGCACAAGAGAAAGGCGAAGCTGTAAGACCCACTGCTGTAGTTTTATCACTTGATGCCAAATGAGGTGCTCCACTTTCATTTCTTAGACTGTCTTGTTCACTTCTGCTTGGCAAATCTTTGTTTTCCAGTTGCACATTGGCATGAACGCGAATGACCTTTGAAATAAACAATATTAAAAACAATAGTAATGTTATGGCCATAAATTCACCAAACTGTACATTTCTATGACAAGGGAGACACTCACCAGGTGTTTAGATTGGGTTTCAAGTGCAGACTGGCTTTCAGTGAGTGCACCTGAAGCATTTTTCTCCAATTCCTGTGCCACATTTGTTCCCAGGCAATTAAGTAGAAAATCTTGCTCTGAGAGTACATTATAAAGTGCTTGTTGAAGCTGCAAACCTTCATCCAGAGCTCCCTGTGACAGCACAGACAGATACACAAGCTAAAAAAAAAGAAGGGTAAAACAGAAACCACGCACTGCAAAAACATCTGGTTTAATCAAGATTCGTATCTTATCTAACTGTAAACTCTTATTGATCCCGATTGTTTTGGTTTGAGGTCACAGTGTGCCTTTTAAGACTGCTTAACCTCACCACGGGAGATCTCACTCACTGTAATTTTGCTTCTGTGTCAACAACAAGCGACAAGTCAAGGTGTTTTTTCCACCTGAATTACTTTTGTATTTCCCAATATGCTTATCCCCTAATCCATATGACAGAAGATGTACTGATCCGGTTCAGTTATAATACACTATCATTTAAGGAGACACTTTACTGATGCTAGAGAAACGAAAGATGACATGACATATCAATTATGACAGGTGCACTGTAAATACACAGCAGGGAGAATACAGCAGCTTCAATACAGTGGTCAAACAGCCCAACCATGTCCTGTTATATTACAGCTGTAATAAAGTGTCGGTATTGTGGGGAGATATTGCAGGGAGATTTGCTGAGATGGAGAGTGCAGACAAACTGTTCATTTAGACAAACATAACATTTATACAGAAATATTCAAGTGTTTTTCACATTCTTCACCATGCATGACTCTCTGAATACAAGAGGGTGCATATGTGGCAAAGAAGGCGTGTTAACACATATAGGTTCTATACATATACATTTTTGACCAAGGTGATGGTCAACACTGATGTTGGATGAGAAGCCCTGGCTTGCCGTCTCTGCTCTAATTCATCGCAAACGTGTTCTATCGGGTTGAAGCCATGATTCTGTACAGGCCAGTTCTTCCATGTCAGACTTGCTCATCCATGTCTTTATGGACCATGTAGACATGTTGGAACAGGAAGGGCCCATCCCCAAACTGTTCCTACAAGGTTAGGAGCATTAAATTGCCCAAAATATCTTGGTATTCCTAAGTAGTAAGAGTTCCTTTCATTGGAACTAAGAAGCCGAGCCCAACTTCTGAAAAACAACTCCACACCACAATCCTCCGTCCACCAATCACTCTCTCCATGTCTCCACTGCTCTAGAGCCCAGTTGCAGCATGCTTTACACCACTGCATCTGACCCTTTACATTGTGCTTGGTGATGTAAGGCTGATGTAAGGATGTTCTTGAGCTAATCCAAAGGCCACATGAAGTTTAAAGGTCTTTAGGATTGACTCTGCAGAAAGCTAGCGATCTCTGCGCACTATGCAGCATCTGCTAATTTCGCTCAAGGATATTACGTATCCTACTACTTTGTGGATGAGTTGCTGTCATTCCCAATCACTTCCTCTTTGTTACACCATGAACAGATAACTGGAATATTTGGTATTGTGGGAATTTCAAGACTATACATGTTGCATTCTGTCACAGTACCACGCTGAAATTCACTGAGCTCCTGAGAGCAAACCATTCTTTTACAAATGTTTGTAGAAGCAATCTGCATGCCTTGGTGCTTGATTTTATATACCTTTAGAAGTGAATGGAACACCTGAATTCAATGATTTGGATGGGTGAGTGAATACTTTTGGCTACTCACTCAGGCATTCATTTGCAGATTTTAAGAAACAAAAGGCAGACAACAAAAGGTTTACCTGTGCATATGAACCAAAGCTTACATTTGTTTTGAAACTTTTGTTTATTAATTAATTAATTAACTAATTTATTTATTTATTTATTCCATGTATCAGAAAAAAATACTGAACACGCTGAGCTTTACCTGGCTATGCGTTGATGGTTCAGCTTGTTCTCTCTGGCACCACTCTTGCATCTGGTTGGTGAGCTCTCTCACTCTGTTTGCAGTGTTTTCTGCAAAATCCTGCTTCTTTTGCAAAAAAACAGACCTGAGGCTGGAGCGAGACCACAAGCAGTGAATGAGCCGTACAGTATTTAGAACGAGTGCATTTTCAAAATAACCCTCATATTCCCTCACATATTCAGAGGATGTGTAAACCCTCATATATCTTCACTGCAACAATACTGATGATGAACTAAGTCATGTTCACCATCAACCCAAGTTACCTTCTGCTTCAAATAGTGCAAGTTTCGCACAAGTCTTTTCTTGTTATCTGTTGGTAGGCCACTTTAATTGTTTTCTTGATACTAAATTAATATTTTCATCTTCATTTTACTTTGAGAGCAATCTTAAAATCCCCAGAAATTTCTAAAAGTCAAAGTTAACAAATCATTTCTCACAATTAGCACTGCATATTCAGTTGATAAGATGAATAAATACAGGAATGATTAATTATTCCATTTTAGAATGAAGTAAAGCACCTGCCAAGGTCTTCAGAAATGGCACTGACAGTCAAAATGATATCTGCAGGAAGGGCTTCCTGTGTGCTGGTCGACTCTCTGGCCCTCTGCAGGTCTTCAGCTCTTGCTGCCAGCTCTGTCAGGCTGCTATCACAGCTCTGAGAGACACACAAGTCCTTCTGTTTAAATATTGTGAGCTGTCTTTTTCCAATTTTTTTTTTTTTTAGATATATATCAACATTTCAAAGTATATGTTCATGTTACCTGTATCATACACCACTGTTGTTTCAGCTGGCTGATATCAGGCAAAGCTTCATGGGTATCGGAAAGATTGGAAACACCTTCAGCCAGGTCTTTAAGAGCTGTCTGCACATACAAGGCTTCTTTTTTAACTCGCTGAATGCTTTCATCACTGTTCACTTGAAGCTGTGCCAGAGTCTCTCTGATTTTACTCTCTAGTGCCCTCTTATGGTTTTGAAGGTTGCTGACTTGTTGGGTCAGACTTATTTGGGCCTCAGCTGTTAAACTAACTGTGATGGAGTCCTTGAGAGTTACAAGCTGAAAAAGATCTTTTTCAGTGCCAGTTACTTCTTGTAGCAAAACCTAAAAATGTGACAAAAAAAACAGTGACTATAGGAGAAACCCCTGATAGATGATTACATTTTTGCATATCCAACATTTCTTCAGTGTAAATTCTTTTTTAATATTGTTAAACAATGATTTTTTTTAATGTAAGAGCTTGGACAAAGCTTATCTGGTCTGTTTACTTAATGCATCTCACCTCCAGAGCTGCTATGTCAGTGTTTGTTCCTGCTGAGTTTTCTTTCTGGCCTTGACAGGCTGATATCCTTTCCTGTAGGGACATCAATTTGTGGTAACAGCGCTGCACCAAGTGGCCAAATTGTTCCTCGTTACTCGCACCTTCCTCAAGGCGGGAACACACTCCCTGTGGATGATACAGGTAAAACAAGCCACACTCAGAAGGCTTACACACAAATAGACTGAAACACAACCCATTAACTGACCACACGTCATGCTCCAAAAGTGTTCATATCACATTATGATAAAGTGGATGAAACACAACCTGCTGCTGTATGTATTGTGACTTTAATGCCAGAGTCCTGGCCCAAAGGAAATGAGCAACCCCTGGTAACAGTGTGTCTATCACACAAGGAAAATAAGAAATGAATGAATGATGCTAATGTACATTTAATTTATCCCTATCATGTCATATTATACTACAAGAGCATAGAATTGAAAAAAGAAAAAAGAAGTAAACAAATAAAACTCTTTACTCTGAACTCTGAGAAATAAAGTTAGGTCCATAATTTGCTGCACAAAGACAGTTCTTGTAGGTGATTTTTAATCAAACAGCCAAGATTTTATTCAGACTTTCAGCTGTAGCAGCAGACGTAATATCTGAAATACATTCAAAATATTGACTTTCAGTTTTATAGCTTTCTTTTCTTTCATCTCCAAAGAGATGTCAGCACGAGTGAAGGAGGTCATTATTATGCAGAAAAACCAAAATAAACCTATTAGAGAGACAGCAAAAACTGTAGGAGCGGACAAATTAGCAAGCTGGTAAATTCTTAAAAAGAATGAATGCACTGACCAGCTCAGCCACACCAAAAGTCCTGAAACACCACGTAAGAAAACTCAAGTACATGATGACAGAATTACTGTCAACATCTTCAAATCAAGTCAAGAACACAATCAAGAAGAAAGACATATCATTGTCAACCAGTAAAACCTGCCTGCATGAATGGAAATGCCGAGGGTTTACAGCAAAGGGCAAAGGACTGGTTACACTGAAGAACATCAATAGTAGGAAGACCAGATTAGACTTTGCCAGAAATCATCTAAAAGAGACAGAACAGTCCTGAAAACGATTTTTTTTGGACAGATGAATGCAAGATTAAGTTGTACCAGAGTGACACAAAGAGGAAAGTATGGAGGAGAGAAACAGCTCGTGATCTGAAGCATACCACATTATCTCTGGTCTGATGGTGAAGGGGGCGTTATAGCATGGGCTGGCAGTGGAACCAGGGCACTAGTGTTTATTGATGATGTGACTGATGATAGAAGCATTAGGATGGATTGTGAACTGTACATGAGTATACTCTCTGCTCAGATTCAGACAAATGCTGCAAAACTGATCAAACACAGTTTCACAGCGCAAATTGACAATGATCCAAAGCATACAGCAAAAGCAACAAAAGAGTTTCTCAAGGGCAAGGAATTGGATATTCTTCAATGGCCAAGTCAGCCACCTGATAAGACAGAAGGCAGAAAGACCCACAAACAAGCAACAGCTGAGAGTGGCAGCAGTAAACAGGAAGAGCATTTTATTGGAGGAAACAGCATTTGGTGAGTTCTAGACTTCAGGCGCTTCTGTTTGTTTTTCTAATTATTCTTCAGCCTCTAACACATAGAGCACTGTATATAAAATTGGCTGCAAATCCCAAATAATATGATTTTCCCCCCTGAACTTTTGGTTTTAAAGTGGAAACTCATTGATTGTTTTTATGATTTTTTTTATTTAAACTCCACTGCAGTGGCAAAACTACAAACACTGTGACAAAAAATTTATCTTGTGATCTTACCACATCGTTACCACCTAACAATGTGCAAATAGTGTTAGCTCAGAGACATTGTTGAATAGACATCAGTTAACTATTATAAGTGTAATTTTACCTTTAGTTCTGCCATCAGTGTTGACCAGTGGGTGTAAAGCAGATCCCAGGAAGAATCTTTCCAGATGCTGTCTCTGGTTTGCTCAATCAGCTCATTTCTCCTCTTAGACAGGCTGCTAAGCATTAACTGCAAGGATTCAGTTTCCTCCTGCAGTTGAAGGGCAAGACGGCATCCTTGTTTACGCTCAGCTGTGCCAGGACAGGGAAATAAAGTGGGAAGCTGATCTTTTTGGCGCTGCAGCACTTCCACTTTGTGGCAAAGCTCCCTCCTTTGGTCCAGGTAAAAACAAGTGACCTCTGGATCAGCTTTTAGAGCGCTTAAGAACAATAAGAACAAGAGATTAGAACCATTTCTGACTAAAACTGGACCATGAAAATGATTTAGTTAAATCCCAGGATTTATAGCTGTTATTATGTAATGTGTAATATTTTACTGCTTAGTTTCATTAGTTATTAGATTCAGGAACGGTCCACCTGTTTTAAACGGACTTAGTCTATTATAGTGCTTTTCTACTCTCCCGCAGCACTCGAAGCACTTTATACAACATGCCACATGACCCTTTCACACAAGCACTTTCTTCTATGCTTTTAGGTGCTTTCTAGCTAACATTCATACGCATTTATATTCTAATAGATGCATCAGAGAGCAACTTGGGGTTAGCATCTTTCCCAAGGATATTTGGCATGCAGATTGGAGGATCGAACCACCAACCTTCTGATCAGTAGATGACCCGCTCTACCTCACTCACCTGTAATACGGTTCAATTGACTGCAAAGTCTCCCGCCACTTCTCCTCTGCTCTCTGAACAGTGTCCTGAACTTCCCTCTTCAGGTCATCTTCATTCAACACCCTGTGGCACAGACCATCTCCAGTAACTCTGAGCTCTTCCAGGCGAGCCTCCCCCTCTAACTCGGCACTCAACACTGCCTGCAATGGATTTTGTAGGGTTTACAAGTCAGTATATAACCTTAGTAAAACAAAAAAGCGGTTATAAAAAATCTCCAGGATTCTGCCTGTATGACAGATACTGTCAGCTTTGAGACACACATATAGATTCCAGAAAGTTCCCTGAATCTAACATCAGCTCTGCACAGCAAATGTACACTCCTTAGTTTTGAACAAGTTGGAATGTAGAGAAAAAGAAAGCACCTATACCACGCCCTCATGTGACATTACACACATTACACACCCACGTCACAATCACTTATATGAGAGTAAGAAGATTTGTTGTTCAATATTCCACAAGCAATCAAGCCTTTCTGTCACCTCTCCACACAGGTACTTAGCACATGCATGTATGTATGATACAGAGCATACTTTCTTATAAAATGCGCTAAATAAAATCTGTGATCTAAATGACATATAGTGAAACTGAGTATCTTAGTATGTGCAGGCAACATTTTCTTACTTGAGCACAGTGAAGTTTTTGCTCTAATGGAGTCTGAATCCAGGGGCTTTCAGCAAGTGGAGAGTCTACAGCTTGTCTCAGATCACTGATCCATGATTGTGTGGACTTGAATAAAGCCTGAAACACCTCGATTTCCTCCCTCAGAGAGGAATGCGTCTCCTTACAGTCACCTTGTATTTTAATGTGTGAGTTGTTGTATCGTTCCAACAGCTTTTTACTGTTCTCCACCACCGCCAGCTGCTGAAGGTTGCTTCTTTGTAAAGATGACACAAGCTGACTGAGGAGCTCTGTCCTCACCCTGCAGAGAAATCAAAGCTGTAAATGCTAATAATGGGGTCAAATCTAATGTTTCCATGCTAGAGTCAAAGCACACTGAAGTGGTAGATACTACGGTGTGGACTTCTGTGTGTGATATTAAGCTGATAAAAAATAAAAGTGATAGTAGTTCATCAGCATTACATCATTGCATTTTTTAAATTAAAAAATTTACTCCAGCTCGAATATAAAATATATGTAAAACAAGTGCTTTTTATCTACAATATAACAGACCTTTGCGTAATTAAAACACACATGGAGTAAAGAATGAGTCACCTGACAAAACAATACACAGTTTCCAAGATTCCTGACACTTTGGTGAGCATTAGTCAAAATCACAGCACTGAACACTTGCATGTTTTTTTTAGGTTTGTTTGTCTTTACTGTCACTCTGCTATTCTCATGTTTTCACATTTCCATCTGATATGTAGCACTGGCAGCACTGTCACTTTCCATCCTTCAAAAGTCTAAAGTAAACACATCAGCCTCCATATCTTTATTTGTAATCAGGAACCCCCAACATATTAAAATATGTGTGAATTTAAAATACATTGGAATTTTCAACAATAATATCAATACTGCTCATATGTATTGTTGTAAATAAAAAAAATAAAACAGTCAGGTAAATGTTTAAAGCATATTTTCAATTATACTGCAAAGTATACATATACTATATGTTATCAGGCAGTATATACGGGCCATGAACACATACAAGTTGTTGCAAATCTACATGGAGAGTGACACACCTTCAGGAGAAAGGTTTACCTTTGTTGAAGCGCTTCTTCTTCCAGAAGACTTTGATCCTCTTCCTTTGCTGTTATTTCCTCAGCAGCATTAAGCCACTGCTCCAGATGGTCCCGCTCTATTTGCAGCCTGAAACACACAAACAGCATAAATACGTCCCATGTGCATACCACAAACACATTAATTTGCTCAATGCTCAATGCTATACGTTCAAACAACATTACAGTGAAAAAATGGTTCTGCCACATAATTCATGACTGACTCAGGAAACCAGACAAACCTGTTTTGATGTCTTTCTTCTCTTTGGTTTAAGCACTGTGACTCTGTAAGACTTTTCCTGCTTGCAGCTGTTTTACGTACAGAGTAAGAGCAAATTTGACTGGATGGTAAGTTTCAAGGATGACTCTGATGAGCGATTAATTTTTTTTGTTTTGTAACTAAATTCCCCAAAAGATCGAACCTTAGTAATAATAGTCAAAGGAGCTTGCAAAGAAAAGCGTCTGGACTTCTTTAAGTTGCTTGAAGACGTTTCACCTCTCATCCGAGAAGCTTCTTCAGTTCTAAGGTCAAA